CCGGTTTAGCTGTCAATAGAATCTGAAAAGTTATATCCGGCAACCCGGCATATTCTAACGAACCATTCTGTGCATATGATAGTGGAGAACTGCGCGAATAAAGAAAGCGCTATAATGCGGAAACAGCCTCATTTAATCTCACAGAAGTAGACGAACAGCACTAGGCATTGATTATTAGGGCACGAGTCTGAAACCTTCAATTATTACTAAAAGTCTTAGATATTATTAATTTATATATCGTAGCTTCGTACAATTCATTAATAGGCTGCCGAGCCATGTATCAATCTAATAGTCCAACAGCGGCTGCGTTACTGCATCGGCCACCGCGGATACAACACTTCCCAAACCTGCCAAGGTAATGTTAGGGCACGTAAGGTCAAACACTGACGGAGACACAAACTGTGCCTTGGGACGGTTGTTTTGGCCAAGCACAATCAACGAGGCCTTCTTCTTGTTGAATTGAGGCCATCCAAGGTTACTGAGACCTGATGTAGGGTTGTTGCTAAAGGTAAACCAAGCGTGTTGCATGAGCTTCGTGAGGCTTCTCTGGTCTGCGGTCGTGGGCAATCCGCTGACATCCGCGGATGCTCCAAAGATCATGTGAAGATCGACACCGTGATAAGCACCGCTGGTGGGATAAAGGCGAGTGTTATCCCAGTCAGCCATGTATCGGTAAGCCCAGGCTGGCACTCCGTGATTGCGTCGAGCATTGGCCTGGTGGGACACGGGGCAGGTGAAAGATTCCAGGAGGAAAGACACGACCTGGTCAGCGGTCGGCACGATGCCAGAGGCAAAGGCCGGGATACGGTAGTATCCATCCTCGTTGTTGTTGTTTCCTAGCAAAAGAGGCACCTTTGCAAATTTACCAGCGTTGGTCAATGAGAGATAGTCAGAGAAAACAAGCTGTTCGTCTGGCATCGGGTAGAAAGCGGGAATGGACCGCAGAACACTGCTGCTTGGCGTGGGCTTGATGCCGGCGGCAGCGGCCTTGATGGCTGTCCAGTCAGCCTGGCGCATGCAAGACATGACATCGCTGGCAGAAGTGCAATTCACAGCAGCCACAACAGTGTCCCAATTCTTCTCGGGGACGCCTGGGGCGTTAACGGGGAAGCTGAAGACATTGCCCGAATGCGCAATGACGCCGTTAACAATGGGGTCCTTCTTGTATGCGTAGGTCCAGTAGTCAACAGCAACACCTCCCGCAGACTGGCCAGAGATGGTAATCTTGCCGGGATCGCCGCCGAACTGCTTGATGTTGTCTCGAACCCACTCGACGGCCGCTCGCTGGTCACGGAGACCAAGGTTTTGAGTCTCGCCTGGGGCACCAGGGAAGCCGAAAATATTGAGTCGGTAGTTGACCGTAACGACGACAATATCCTCGCTGTCGGCAAAGTATTTGCCTGAGTAAAACGGGCTGTCGGTGTTTCCAATGGTATATCCTGTCCTCGTTGTTAGTGACCAGAATCGTCGCTTTGTCTCACACGGCTCGGAGACTTGGATATGCGTATGCTTACTGCCACCATAGAAGAACACTAAGACAGGCTTCTTCGCTTTCAATGCATTCTGCGTCGCCTTAGACCAGATGTTGAGGGTGAGGCAATCTTCACTCTGAGGAGTACCCGCCGCAGAGGCGAAATAGTTGACAATCTGCTGCGCCTGGGGCGTAAACCCGGGGTAATTGACAGGCTTCGACGGCGTCAAAGGGCAATCAAATCCATAATTGGCGGCCACATAGGGCTTCTTGGATCGGATCTTGGCGGGCGCTGCGAATCGCAAGTTTCCAACAGGCGGCTGCGCAAAGGGGATGCCCAAGTATTCAATCACGCAGGCCGAGTTGGACGCTTGGTGACCGGTGATGGGACCATTAGACGTGGACACGGTGAGAAACTGACGGGTGTTACAGCTCGATGCCGTCGATGATGTGACATCCACAGGAGTAGCTGAGGCAAGGGCAGCGCCCAAGATCAAGGCCGCGCTCTTGGTCGTGAGAAGCATGGTGAAGGCGAAGGTGAGGTTGCTGGAGATGTGGTGAACCGCCGTTGCTCAACAACACCTTTCGTCCGAGTGATACGACAGCAGCATCTGCATCACTACATATATAGTCGTCCGGTTAGACTCCGAGCTTTGTCTGTCGTTACTTAACCCGGGCCAATTGCGCGGCGCGGATCCAGTTCATGCGCAATTTCATCAAACCACCGTTTACTAAACCCCATATTGATTGCCCATCACCCACGTTGAGGCGCTCGCATCTGCAACCCGATCCAGTAACCATGCCGCCCAGCAGAGCTTCTACAGGTAGCAGCTCGGCAACCAAGATGCCGGCCTCTCCAATGTCTCAGGCAATTATGGAGGCCCAGCTCCGGGATGCGGCCAACAGAGCGCATTTTCCGGTCGCCAATGTTCGTTTCCAGGTTGATTGATGCGGGAAGACGCGAAAGCTTCATGGGCCGGGGCACTTTTCTAGGTCGCTGGCAGGGATATCATCGGTCAGCATCCCCCAAACAATTGGGGGCAATCCCTGCCGAGAGGTCACCAATTTGCAGCCAAGAAAATTACGGATCAATTGCTGCATGGCGGAGGAGCAGCTTGGTCAATAAATCTCAGGCTAACAGAGAGTACGAAGCAATAAAAAGTCCATCTGCGGGCGCGAGGATTGAGTAAACAGGTGGAGATGCGGAGGCCCTTCGATTTTGCTACGAAAGATTCTGTCCATGCGGAGGCTTACAGAGTGCAACATCGTACGTAGTATTCTAGCAACCTCTTGCAACTGTTTGTCCATTTGTAGTATTCACGCTCCGTATTGGTGCCCTCCATTGACGGCTTCGTCTGTGCTTCTATGATCTTCCCGTTTCCAAACATCAGGATGTAGGCATACACGAAGATGTAAGTCCGGTACACCCGCCATCACCCCTTTCTCACTGTGAAGCATCGAATGAGCCCCGATAAATTTATTGCGGTCCCTGTTCCGGTCAACTCCAAAAACAGCACCGCAGTAGGGTTCTTTTTCAACATCTATAACATCTCAACCATTGTGGATGAGAAAAACCAATAGTTTGTAGCCACTTCTCGCGCTCAATTGCGCCGGTATGCTCGGCATCGGACCATCCTTGTGGCCAGCAACGATTACATACTCGAATTCAGCTGATAGTTGTGCTCTGTACGAGTCTATGAGCCTGTTCTTCGTAGAGAGGCAAGGCATTTGTCATCCTGGCAGAACAAACCCGGTTCTCTCTCCTCGACAACTAAGCAGGGGAATCTTTGCGTATTCCGCGTAGACAGACAAACTCACTCCGTACTACGCAATCTGTTTCCCTCCATGGCTGAAGACAACAGCTAACAAGAACTAGCCATGGCGTACGAGTGCTAAACCACGTACTAAAACCGCGTATAAAGTGCTGGTTCCGTGGCGGAGTGGGCTCCGGCGTTCTAGTCGACATTGCCATGGCAAGGATACAAACTAGCGCATGATTCCATGTTTTGGTGCCTGTCGCACTCCTCTCTAGCCGTCGGGGCCGATGTCAGAAGAATTTAAAGTTGGCGATAAACTTAGCTCTTCCGCCAGAGACACGATTCGCGCGATGCAGAAAAAGCAAAGCGAGGGAGATTCCATCGCCCGACATCGAGAAGCGACGTCTGTGCTAGCTTTCACCGGTTAATTCACTCCTTTCGTAAAGACTCTAGTCGATTCTGAATTCTTCATTGAGGCGTACCGAACCAACACGTCCTTCCTAACCAGTGGACGGCTGGAGGACAGGGGTGAGGAGTGGAGATGCTGTTGGTCCTGCGTGTCTGCATGGATGTAGACGGAGTCCTGCTCAGCTCCGCGAGCGAAAGCTGAGCGGCGAGGGATTTGTAACCGTACTCGTGTGTAGGTTCCTTGCAGGCGGAAGAGTTCCTCGAAAGACGTTTGGGTGTTTGAAGATCCACTGCTGCAAGTGAATGAAGCCACTAGCACTCTAGTATGGCCCTACTGCGTGGCTTAAGACGCGCGAAGGAGCTGAGTGTCAAGAGTAGCACCAAATTGAAGACGATTAGATGATTAAGGGAGACGAGTGTCCTCTTTTAGGTGGTAATAATGCGAAGCAAGCTGTTCAAAGAATATGGCATGTCGCTTGCAAAGTACTCAAGCTCTGTCAGTATGAACACTCTCCCCATGCCCAGCCAGCATAACTTGTGCAATAGATCTGAGGTTTAGATCAGAAGTGCTCCATTAGTTTACTCCTTTGAGTGCTTTCGATACGAATTACGGGATGCTGCGGAGTGCTACTGGCCGAGTCCTGTACTCCATGCCGTATGAGTCTACCAAGCTAGCTACTTGTATGATAGCAGTGGTGCTAGTAGTAACAAATTTACGATGTTCAATCATCCTTCGCCATCTAGAATGTCGCCGAAGAGAGCCTGTCTCATTTCGTAGACCTCTTTTACAGGCTCCACTGAGCATTACCCCAGCTCTCCCGGCCTTGCATCGTTGCATCGCTTGTCCTGCATGCATTCACAGGGTCTGGCTTATGACTTTTCATCGCTAGCTACAAGACATACAGTAGTTGTGCATTGCAGAAAGGGGAAAGAAGTGCTAATGGCAAAAGTCCTCGTACAGGAGTAATCTGCCCGGAGGGTAATACTAGAAGGTGGTGTTACTCGAAACTCTTGGCAGCCCTCGGCGGCGATTTCTTTCCCTTTCTCTGCGAACAGGGGGGCGTCTGGAGTTTCTATTCATATTCTCTAGGGACGGCACTCCATATCTGACCAACGCGGGCAAAGTTGTCGATATCTTACGTTTCTTTTGCCTTGGCCGGTCTGCCGGTCGAGGGCCTCTCCAGCGCAAAAGCATCCGATTGCCACGGCTTCCCGCACCGGGCAGCGGGATTAGTCTTCAGGTCAACATCCGGCTAATTCGGGAAGGCGATTATCCAACAGAAAAAGAGTAGAATACCAAAACGCCCGCCTAAGCCATGTGTCCCGTGCTCCAGTTGTGATCAAGGCTACACTCGCGATCCACGATGGGGCCGAAGGGTATGGGCTTCCCTGCCGACGGGATAGACAATCATGGCTGGAAGTTATACATCACCTCTATGGTAATGATCATCGCCGCCGGCTTGATTGTTACTTTTAGATGTGCGAGTCGAGTCTATCTCTTCAACTTTGGTGCTGACGATGTTGTCATCATCTTCTCCTTGGTGAGTTCCGTTGCCATTTCTTTCGTCTTCTTGCCCCTGATCTACGTTAAGACTGGTCTTCGCTAATATTGTATTCATCGGCTTTCTTCATATTAGCTTTTCTCCATCGTTCTCTCTGTTGCCATTCAGCTTGCCATCGAAAATGGCTACGGAATGCACAAAGCCGATCTCACTGTGGTTGAGCTCAACACCGCTCTGAGGTGGTTCTTCATTGCTCAAACCCCCTACAAAGTAACTGTCTGCCTCAACAAAGTGGCCACCATCCTACTTTATCAGCGTATTTTTGTTACCAAGAAATTCCAGATTGCGTCGTATATTGTAATGGGAGTCGTCGTTGCTTGGAGCATTGGAGGTGTAGGATCTACTATTTTCCAATGTGTTCCTATTGCTGGTGCTTGGGATAAGAGTGTCAAGGCAACATGCATCAACTCGGATATATTCTGGGTCGCCTATGCCGTCATGAACATCTTGACAGATGTGATGGTTTTGGCTCTTCCCATCGCGCCTATCATGCAACTCCAGCTCAGCCCACGCAGCAAGGTGATGCTGTGTGCCATCTTCCTGATGGGCGGTTTGTACGTAGAGCCTATCCTCCAATAAGCCCCAGATCTCCCTGCTCTAACAAAGTGCTAACAATTATTTACTTTCAATAGTGTTACTGTCACGTCAATCCTCAGAGCAACATCTGTGAAAAACTCACTCGCCAATAAAGCAGATACCACATGGAACTTTATTGATCGCGGCATGTGGACGTTGATCGAGGCCAATGCAGGCATTATCGGCGCCTGTCTTCCCGCTCTAAGACAGCCTTTGGCTCGAATATTCCCTCGCTTCTTCGAATCGACCATGAAGAACTCAAACCACAATGACAACAGAACTCCAGGCAAGGGGGCCTTTAATCTCTCCAACTTATCTGGGCATGCATCCCATCCAGGCATGTGGCGGGGAGGAGGGCACAGTCGCCAGGTTGTGTCCATCTCCGGACCCGAAGCAGGATTGGGGAGGAAAAGTGATGAGCTACACATCATCGATGATGGTCTCAAAGATAATGATAGTGGCTCTGATACCGCAGGCGTTCAGGGTATCTCTAAAACGGTTGATGTTGTGAGGACGTCATACCACATGGACCGGGCGTAAGAGCAGTGATACCCAAGATACAATATCCTTTATAAACAATATTCCCTTCTTTTAACTGTAATAAAATCCATTTTGTCTCCCTTAAACTTACAAGAACTGGCGTTCAGAGAATGCTTCGTGCGCTTCCGGCATGACGATGATAACCAGGTGTCGAATTTTTGACATCACATCACCACTTGAGATGAATATCCCCCCGCTCAATGTCAAAATCTTGGTATAATAAAAAAGTTTCAATACTTGCGAAGTGGTATATATATGTATGTATGGCATGTGTATATATGAACATTTATGCTGAATAAAATCTTTCAAAACTGAAATTCCATGTCGTCTTAAGGGCGCCGCCTTTAGCCGACGATCCTCGCGCTCCAATATGTTGAAGAACACTGGGCACAACGGCCCATTTATCCAAATGCAGGTCGTCCGCTGTCTTTTCGATAGTAGAGTCGGCCGGTAGGTCAAAGGGAGACGCCTGTAGCTTCTCTTGCAACAAGGTAAGGTGTCGGTTTGGTATAACCAAGCCCTGGCTGCAACAGCCGTATCGCGGCATCTCTTGCACGCCGTATGGAATAGGATTGACTGTTAACCGACCAGCCATGAATCCAAGTCCAATGAAAAGAGGCACCCAGATAAACAGTATGTTCGCCATCAAGAGCTTTGAGTTTTTGAATGCTCGGTCCTTGAGCGAGGGCGGAGCCAGTTGGTGGAGATAGCGAATTGCCAGCATGACTCCCACCACGGCCATATAGATGAGCACAATATTTCGAATATACATCGGCCATTCCTCCGAGTTCCACCCCATATAGGTTTCGGTATAAAAAAGTCGAATGTAAAGCCAGTCTCGCTTTTTGGCAACCGCGCGCTCGTTCACTTGAGGTGTTGCCTCTAGGAGTCGCTTGAACCACTCTCTCGCGGCGATGACATCGTCTTCGACAAGAATGAAGTAGTCTGCTTCGTTTCGGCGGCATGTCTCGGAAAGCACAGAATAGTCGCGTCTTACTCGCTCGTCTCTGATCGCTGATTCGGAATGTCGCGGTATTGTCTGATAGCCATTTTCAGCGACTAGTTTCTCTGGCGTATCTTCATGAACTATGACTGTATCGGCAATCGCATGGAGCCAGTCTTGTCCAAATGCTGAGTTTACTGTCGCATCGGCATCTGACAACAGAACAACGATGTGAATCAGCTCCCGCTCTTCAGGTGTCAATGAATCGACAAGAGAAGCCGCCGTTCTCGGAAAGAATTGCGCCCGCTCTCTCTGAAGCGTTGGGATGCCGATGCAGTATGGAGCGGGCCGGCGAGAGCTTCCTTCTGTTGCATTTCTTAATCTGCTGTTTTGTGCGCTTTGAGAAGCTAGGAAATTGTCGGCTTCCTGCTCTCTAACAGCCGAGTAGAATGGTTGGTATGCGGCATCTGAGCGAAAGAAATATGAGGACGGATCGAAGTAGGTGGTTTGTTGACAATATCGAACGGCGATAAACCAAACTAAGAAAAACACAAAGTTGACCACTCGTAGATCGGTAGTAAATCGCGATAATGAGGGTGTTGATTTAGTCATTAGGGCATTCTTTTGTTACAAGTGACGAGCATAGACGAAGATATGTACGGTGTCGTTTGTCGGACATGAAAGGAATGGTTTTGGAGAAACTCCAGCGACCACAGCACTACTAATATGAAGAAGAAACTCGCAGGGATCTTTCTTCAATTACAATGACCCAACTCCATAATAGTTATAGCCTAAAACGTCTCCACGGAGTGGCTGCCATTGGGATTCTGGACGACCTCGATCCTTTATCGAATGAGAGGACGGGTAAGCGCTAGCTTGTGAAAGCATCCATGTTGGACTCCCTGAGGCGCAGAGCCCCGTGTTCTTTTTTCCTGCGCCGCCGCCAGGTTTCGGGCATCTGACGTAGACAAGCTGTCGATCCAGAGCATCAACTAGTGGCCCAAGACCTTCGCTATTCTCCCGCTCTAAGATTGCATGCATGAAAGGAGGAATATTATGGCTCTAGCACTTGGCATCCTTTTTAGTAGTAAACAGCTCCGTGAGCTACCCACAGTAGTGGACGTAGCTGTGTAAGATTTTGCTGCTTGTAGTATGGGGTGGCTACCATAGCCACCACGATACGAGACGGCACCGCGTTTGCACAGCCCTTCCACGCAAGAGATGCGTTTCGAGCCTATGGTGAAGGATCCGGTATTCGGAAACAAATTAAAGTTATGACGGCTGCTAACAGACATGCCTCTCAAAACGACAGCCTGCAATACAAGTAATTGCTAGTCTGAAAGTACATGGGCATCGTGATGTCACAGCAGCCACAAAGTTCAATCACCAAGAAAGCTGCATCTTGGCATCTCTCGGCATGAAAGCAGGAGAGGGGAAGCGCCTTTGTTATGGGTCAGACTTCTCCATCGCTGGGTTCAGGCTAGTAGTTAACTCGCCGTTTGCGGGCCTGATTCAGGGGAACCGACACCACTAGCAGAGCTGAAGTCTAAAACCGCGTGAATTTGTGAGTGCAAAACTACGGACATTGGAAGTTATATCTGTCTCGGGATTTTTACCAGTGGATACTCGCTGGTCTACGATCTGCCTTGGCTTCGCTTCCCGGCTCTTGGCTTCTTGGCTCCTTGGCCTTCTCGCCGCGATGAATTATCTCCACGTCAAAAAGAAAAGAAGAGACACTCAATCTTTCAGAGAAGAAAAGCTGCAAAGCTTCAGAAAAGGAGCTGAGCGCCAGTTGATCAATAGCCCCTCCATTAAATTACTTACCCAATTAATAGCTGGGGACTCTAGCGGGATCCAGTCCTAAAACCCGTCTAGTATTGATGCTATCGGTTATGACGGCTCCTGCTGACTAGGAATACGGAGTGCCCAGACTTGAGCCCAGTCGACGCCTTTGCGCAAGTGCTTCCGCAAGGCAAATGGGACGGAATATTTATTTTGACGAGAGAACTATCTAACCAGATTGTTTTTACAGAGTTTCACTCTCCAGCAAAGCCCAATACTGGAAATAGACTCTTCTTCTTCATTGCGTATTGCTCGAAGCAAAGTGGATATGTCCATGATGCATACGGAAATACCATGGATCAATACTGTGGGAATCGAATTCTGGGATTACCGAGTTCTTCGTGCTGTGTTAGCGAGATGATGGCATAAGCGCATTTACACAAATGCTAGATTTACGAAGTCAATGGAGAACGAAAGAAGAAGCACAGGGTATTGCGCAGCAGTTAGACGCGTTGTAGGGAACTGTGAGAGAATGACGCGTAAACAGGAGGCTTTCTGAACTATCCAATGGAAATCCCAGACTTCATTGAGTTTCTCTTCTGCAACCAGCTCTGCATGATAAGCTTTTAAGCTTTGCTAGTGTCAGCCGTTAGCGGCAGCATATTACAATCAATGAGATTCAACAGTTTAAAGCACTGAGCTTGATGAGGGTGCCCACCTTGTTATTTTCCTATGCAGGAGATGCAGGAGAACTAATAAGGCGCAAGTAAGGCGTAAATTCCGGCTTACGCTGATGAAGCTAGCTAGGAGACCGTTCAGGCTTTGCAAACCCTGTCTCTCAATTTCCAAGGTAGCAGTTCAAAAAGCAACGCGCAACCTCAAAGGACAAGCAGACATTTACTTGCACCGATGGCCATCGCTATATTTCTTTTGTAGTTCATCGACATCTCATTCCTCATATCAATGTTTATGTGTATTGATGAGCCTAAATACAGTTACTTGAACCGTCACCTCGTGGCGATGAGTGCTTTATACGGTACGCCGAATATAGCGCTAGTTGTGACACGCAGAAGGAGAAATAAAACAAAAAATAAGATAACAATAAACGCAAGTCTAGAACGGCTAATTGATTCTATATCGATTTATCTATGCCAGATAAATCGAAAGACTGGCGGGATTTCTTTATACTACAGCCGTTCGGCAGAGGAATGCCAAGTCCGAAAGAAGTGAAGCTAATAAAATGCGCATGGCCGGCATACTCGTACACGAGTCTGCTTATAGAATGACTTCCATGGCGCAACCACGATTATGCTTTCGTAAATGGGAGTAGTGAAGTAGATGATTCATTAACTGCACGGTTGATATCTATATCCTATATTTTCAAGCCTGATTATATACAAGCTGCTGTATATACACCATGTTCCATTCGAAGTTCCATGTGATTATGCGTGAAGACAAAATGTTTCTCCTCCATACCCTGTCATTATTTTTACCCGTGATTTAGTGGATTTGATCGCTGGAGATAGCCAGTTCATGATCGTGTTGCAAATCGCTCGCCCCAACCGTCTAATTATTTATTGAAGGGCACAAGGAGGAGGAGAAGAAGAAGAGCATACCAAGGATTCCATGTCTATGACTTCTATGCCGAAAAAGCTGCCAAATCAGCACCAGTGTTATAGGAATATCATATTGAGGATAGGCTAGGAAGCATTCAGTCTCTGCTTCCGAGAGCCGATGAGCCTATGCAGCTTCCTGTTATGACAGTCGCAGAAAGATCTCGGTAGAGGATTGGCTGAGACATGCTTAAATGGAACTTTGGTAGGCTTTAATGTATTTATCAACATCTGGTTGGTGGTTTTTGGCCGGTGCCCCCATACCCGTTACATCGGGTACCACATTTAGCGGAGGCGAGGTGCTCATGACCTCTGCAGCATTCCTTGGAAATCTTGGCTTTACGGTAGGCTGTAGATGTAGATGGGTCATAATACCGATGATAGATCGTACTTTGTTAATTGAATCGTGCTTATATAGTGACTCGTTCTATTGTTCCTAGGAGGAAAGGGAGTAAGGCATGCTATTTGCATCATCATTTGAACCCTACTATTGTCCTTCTGATCGTATGGATGTCGTCGGCACAGGTGGCGTCGTATGCATGATGTTTCGTCACCGTGTTAATTATCGCTGGTCAAAAGTCCCATCGTATCGAAAGAGCCAGCGACTCTCCTTCTGGCAGGTCGATCTTGTGTGGAATGCTATTGCCTTGAAGACAACCCCTCCCTCTTATCGCTACTCACGGGATACCATCTCTCTTCGGCAGTTCCCATCGACTGGACTCGGCAGGCCAAGGCACAGGAGCATCTCAGTGGTTATAAACAGGTGAAGATCGTGGCTGGATCTGCGTGATGCGGGCCTCCCTTGACGTGATCCGATTAGCGGGTTCGGGGCATCTGATCGTTTACGGCCTCGAACCTTTTTGACAGCTCCAAAGGTGAAGACCTTTTTTTTCCATCTTGGCTTGTTTGCTGTTCATCGGCTTCACAGTGTTGCACTGCTCTCGTTTATTTTGCTGGGCTATTGGCGGGGATTTGACATCTTCAATCTGATAACCACTCTACTGCCTTCTACTCGGCTACTACCTTCTAATCGTGGCAATGGTGCAAGTCCTACCGGCATTTGATACCGATAATTCGCAATACAATCGATTTGAATAAGGAGGAGTGGCCGACTATATAATAGGCGACGTAAACATATATCGGACGGAATCCTGTCTTCTCTCGGCAGCTTGGTATCACCAGAGCACAAACTCAGCCATTCTCAGTATCGTTAGCATTTGCCATGAAGTCCCTTACTTTACTCTCTGCCCTCGTTGCTTCGGCATCAGCCGCTGTCCTTCAGCCTCATAGGGTCTCGTATGATGGACACAAAGTCTTCCGACTGTCCGTCGACGCTCACAACATTGACCGAATCAACGACATTGTGGACACTCTGAATCTCCAGACCTGGAAGCCTGCCAGAAAAGCAGGATCTTTCGCCGATATTGTAGTGAGCCCTGACCAACTTGAGACTTTCAATAAGGCGACGTTGGATTTGAAGCCCGTGGTTATGCACGAAGATCTTGGTCACTCGATCGAGAAAGAGTCTACTTTCCAGCCCTATTCCATTGATGCTGTCAAGGCCGTCAACAGCACATGGTTCACCGCGTACCATGCCTATGCAGATCATCTGCAGTTCCTCAGAGATCTCTCGGCGCAGTTCCCCAACACTTCAGAGATTGTCACCTCTGGCAACTCTTTGAATGGCAACGCCATTACCGGCATCCACTTCTGGGGCAGCTCGGGCAAAGGCGTCAAGCCTGCTGTCATTCTCCACGGAACCGTTCACGCTCGAGAATGGATCACCACTCTGGTTGTCGAATATTTTGCCTACACTCTGCTCACAAGCACCGACGCTACGACCAAGGGCTTTTTGGACAAATATGACTTTATCTTCTTCCCAGTTGTGAACCCTGACGGTGAGATTGCGCGTTCCCTCCGAGATATAAGCCCCTTACCTAACATTCAACTCCCTAGGTTTCCTGTATACTCAAAGCACTGATCGCTTGTGGCGAAAGAACCGTCAAACAAATTCTGGCAGCTCATGCGTCGGTCGTGATATCAACCGAAACTGGAATTACCAGTGGAATGTCCCAGGAGGCGCATCTACCAATCCCTGTGCTGAAGACTTCAAAGGTGCCGCTGCGGGCGACTCTGTCGAGTTCAAGGCCCTCTCTGCCTACATCCAAAAGATCAAGACGGCCCAAGGCCTCAAGCTTTACATCGACTATCACTCCTACTCTCAGCTCTTCATGACCCGTGAGTACCCACAAGGCCCATTAAAAAACCTGCTGTGCCTTGTTACTGACCATGCCATATTTCTAGCCTATGGATACTCTTGCTCTGCCGTTGCGCCAAACAACAGTGAGCTGCAGTCCCTCGCCAAGGGCGCTGTTGCTGCTATCCGTGCTGT